GACCCCTCATTCACTGCTGGTGGGAATGTAACCTGGCACAGCCTCTATGGAAAACAGTCTGGAGGTTCCTCAAAAAATTAAGAATAGAGCTACCATAGGACCCAGCAACCCCTCTTCTGAGTGTCTACAAAAAAAAATTGGAAACATTTATTTGCAAAGACATACGCACCCCATTGTTCACCGCAGCATTACTCATGGTGGCCAAGGCCCAGAGACACCCAAAGTGTCCTTCGACAGATGACTCGATAAAGAAGATGTGGGACACATATACAATGGAATACTACTCAGCCATAAGAAAAGACAACTTCCATTTGTGAGAACATGGGTGGATCTTGATAATATCATGCTAAGTGAAGTAAGACAGAAAAACGTCAAGAACCGTATGATTTCACTCACTTGTGGGATATAAAGCTGAAAGCAACAAACAAAAACTCAAAGACACAGACAACGGTGTGGTGGTTACCGGAGGGAAAGGCAGTGGGGGGAACTGAAGGGCAGAGGGGGTCCAGTGTAGAGTGACGGAAGGAGACTTGACCTTGGGTGGTGAGCACACATGGAATACACAGACGATGTATCATAGAATTTACACTTTGAAACCTATATAATTTTATTAACCAATGTCACTCCAATGAATTTAATAAAAACCACTACTTTACCCTGTCTCCATTTCTGTCTTTTGCGCCATGGGTACAGTCACTCTGAACCACCATTAGCAGTTCCAGCACATCATGCGTCCCAGACGAATCCCTCCATGAGACTGCCATCGGCACGCTCACTCAGACTCCTGCCTCCTCTGGGAAATCTGTGCTCACGTCCCCATTTTATAAGCACTCTTCTGCCCTCACTTCTCCTTTCTATCCTCACACATGCCTTTCTCCTAGCATTTATTACCTCAGGCTGTGGTTGCTTGTTTGCTTCTTTGTGTACCCCACAACACTGAACTGTGGGCACCCTGAGAACTGTGGGCTTTTAGAAACAGATTTTTTATTGAATTTGAGAGAGAGAGGAAGGGAGATGGAGAGAGAGAGAAACATCAATGTGAGAGGAAACATCCACCAGCTGCCTCCCGGATCAAGTCTGAAACTGAACCATCAATCCCTCAGTGCATGAGACAACGCCCAACCAACCAGAAGAGCGTCATTTGTGGATTCACTAAAATGTTTTTGGGTTCAACAAATTTTCAATAAATACTCATGTCTGATAGTAAATGAATGAAGCTGTGAGACATTTTAAATAACAAGTATTACCTTGAATTTCCAAATTCCTATTAGAGACCATCGATATCGCCCATATTTCACATATGCTGAATAACCTTTAATGATCAGCCTCAAAGGTTACACAGCATCACTTGCACTGTGCTCAGTTCGCCAAGGATTCGTACGTCCATCCACCCAGATTCAGGGGAAGGTACACAGACCCCAGCTCTTGATGGGAGAAGTGCCTACAAATCCGAGGCCATGCTAATACTACACTAACCATCAGAACACAGTGGTGAACTAACTTATTATTTTGAAAACACATAAATAAAGAGAAAGATCACATATCCTGCTTTTCTGATACAACTCTATTAAGAAGTAGCCAAATAATAGGTGAAGAGAAACTTCCCTTTATAGAAATATTCCAGTCAATAAATGAGGAAGGGTAAAGTTAGAATATCACTACTTTTCAATCCCCAGTGAATTCTGGATCCGGACATTGATCACCAAAGACTATTTTAAAAAAGAGAGATAACCAGACATTATCTGTGCTATTTTGGAAGAAGAAAACACTATCTACAAAATAGATTTTTTGGGGGGATGTCTGATTCATCTAGATCCAACTATCAACTTAGATGAAAAAGGGAAGAGAGAACATGTTAACTGATACCTCAGGGATGTTGTCAGCACAATTCATATTCAGGGAAACTTTACGGGACACTCTGGTTTCTTCAACAAACCAATGAGGAAAAAAACAGATAGGTGGGGATTACAGAGACTTACGAGTCATATCAACCAGTCACAACGGATGAATTTTATTTGAATCTTGATTCAAACAAATAGAGCCTAAGAAAACAAAAGTCATTTGCAAGACAATTGGAAATTTGAGTGCTGAGTATATATTTAGTGATAGATGCTACTCTTTTAATGTTTTTAGAGAAGATGATGTGATTGTGTTCATAAAAAAAAGTCTTGTTTTTTTAAAACACATTCAAAAATATTTACAGATAAAATGATACAATGCCTGAGATTTTCTTCAAAAATAATATAAGGGAGGAGGTCACAGGTGGGGACAGAAATAAGGTTGTCCATGAGTTGGTAATTACAGTAGCTATGTGATGGTACACGAGGATTCAACATATTATTTCATCTTTGTTTATACTGAACTTTTCTCATAACAAATATTCTAAAAGCACACTTTACTAATTCCTCAGTGACCTTGAAATAAAAACTCCTAGATAAATTTTAGAATGTGCTCCATGATCTGGCCCGGGCCCGCCTCTTCAAGATCATTTATCACTCTCACCTACGTTTACACTATATGAAGCTAATTCTAGTTCCCACTCATACTTCCAAGTATATATAAATTTCCCCTTTTCCAGAATGCCAAGTCCTAGTCTGCTTCTCCTGGCAAAACTCATTCATTCTGTCACATCTACTCATTGCCAACTACAGGTATCAGGCTCTGCGCTGTGTGCCAGAGGATACACTGGAGTGATGAATACCTAGCATCTGCCTCTCTCAGCTGGCACTCCACCCTACCTGGCCCTCCTCTGGCCCTGTGAGGCTGACCCATTTATACGGCATCAGTGGTTCCCTTGTCCTCTAGTTTCTGGTTAGACTTTTCTAGAGGGAAGCACGAGCAGAAGGTCTGGAGGACAAGCACAGTGAGGTCACTGTGTTTCTGTCCCAGCTCCCTGCCTGCCAGGTTGGCACAGGCTGGCTGCTTCCCCTTGGAACTGTCAGGTGGTCCCTGCCAAATAGTTCTGTCTCTGGTACAGGTGACTGTTTACTTGCCTTTAAACCTTCAGCTCAAGAATACAACGCCATCCGTTGTTGCTTCTCCTAAACCTAGTACACAATTTGTAGAGTCCCTCCATTAAACTCTCCTCTAATTACCCAATTTCAGACTGCCTTCTCTTCCCTGTTCGGATGCTAATTAAACAACTGCAAGCAAAAACAACCCAAACCCCAAAACACTATAAAAAAAAGTTGGACACAGATGTGGACTGAAAAGTTGTAGGAGATGAAGAATAAAGAACGTTTTAGAGAGAGGCAGCATGTGCAATGGCCCTGTGGTGCAAAGGAAGCAAGGGGTGCTGAAAGCCACACTTGACTTCAGAGGCTATTTGAGGAAGAAAGCAAAGAGGACAGTGGGAGAGGCTGGAGAAGCAAAGAGAAACTCAATCTTGCAGGGCCAAGTAAAGCTTTAGATTTTGACCCTGAGAGCAATGCGGGAGGGTCTATTATTCTTCCCCCCACACCCCCATCCCAAGCCCAGGTAAGCAATCACCTTGCCTTAGATGTGTACTCCCTGACAGCTTTCTGTCACATAGTTGGGATGCTCTGGCACATGGGACACATGCACATTCAATAAGTGTTCACTGAATCAGTGACTAAATGAATGACGAAAACACCCACAGCCAAGTTTAGGGCACTTTGGGTCACCTCCAAAAACTCATCATTGAACATGGCCTTCTTGGACTTATTCCTATTTGCTCTTTGCAGACTGAGTCTTCTCCTATAATTAACATAAAGATCTTTGGAGAGAAAGAGTTGTGCATGGGCTATAAACCTAAAAACTAGATCAATCCCAGACCAATCTTTTCCACTCGACAACCATTTCATTCTAAAGATGGCAGATTTAATGAGCAACAACACTGCTCAGGGGATGGACGTTGTTGCCATAGTCACAATAGGTTACTCTGTTAAATCTCGGTATTTTGAGGTGATTGGAATCCACGAGATGAGTAAAAAAGTGGGCTGTTCTGGTTTACTGAGGACAAGAAATACGACCTTCTTGCTTTTAAGCATGAGTGCTAACCAGCGGTTGTCAGTAGAAGCTTTATTTTAATTTGCTTTATAAACTAATAGTGAGGTCTGATTTACACCAGATGTAATGATATGCAAAATTTTCATTGGTTTCCTTGTCATTCAATAAGTTGAACTACATGCTAAAACTTGCTTGAAATTACACTTACATTACATATTTATTTTCTTATGCGAGCAAACAAAATAAAAATACAAGGTGATCTCAATACTGCAGAAACTGAATATTAATGTCACAAAAATGATGCCGTTCTACATTCAGGAATTTTGTGATAATGGAGATGCCCATCTTAAGCGTAAAAAGACAAGTTGAAGATAAATGCAAATGAGCACCTTCCTTCTCACCCAAAAATATTAAACAGCAAGGTTTCTGCATCGTGCTGGGATACATCTGTGACAGAATGCTTTTTAATTAACATGAACACTCTGCATGTAATTCTGGTAGAATTCGATTAGGAAAATTAACAAATAATATTTATTTTTTGAAGCTCAAACAAATGTGCATCAATTTTCTTAGTGACATAAAGAATTAATTTTTGTTCTTGTTTTCCTCAAGCAACTCATATTGCATAGAGCTTATAAACTGATAAGGCAGGAGAGGAAATTATAAATATGAAATGGAAAAACTCTAACTCTGGCTAAAATACATTTTATTTATTTAATTGTTTTACTTTATTTTTATGGTTGACACCTTACAGATGTCCCCATTCCCCCCTTTGCCCGCCTCCACGCGGCCCCCACGGCCCTTGCCCGCGGGCCACCACCACACTCGTCTGCATCTGTGCGTTACGCAATATGTTCCTTGGCCAATCTCTCACCTTCTTTCACCCAGCCCCTCACCCACCCAACAGCAGTCAGTCTGTTCCATGTATCCACACCTCTGTTTCTATTTTGTCAGTTCATTTTGTTCATTAGACTCCACATCTAAGCGAGATCACACGGTATTTGTCTTTCTCTAATAGTTGTATTGCTCACCAAAGAGGCCATGGTGAATCCAATGACTTCAATATAACCGTCATCGTGACGCTGAGGTTCGAAATCATGGTGATCCCCTGGGTTCCCCCAGGGCATTGTGCCAGCACAATATCTGCAAGGTAAGATTAAGAACAGAATCAAACTTATTCCATTCCTCTCAGGACCATCGTGAGGGAGGAATGTAGTTAGACCCAGTGTTTATTCCACTTAAAAACAGTTTTCTGTTCTAGGTGCACACCGTCCAAAGGCAAAGGAAATGGACCCGTCAGCAGCTCCAAACACCAGCCTGTGACAATGAGCCACGACTTCATGACAGACGCATTCCATGGTGCGCAGCGCCCTCCTGATTCAGTACTTCCAGCACCTGTCACTCTACGGTTCTGGTCTGCCTGCTTCCTACGACGTGCCGTGACTTGCCAATGGTTGGCTTCGGAATTGGGGCTCGGAGGGAGACAAAGGATGTGAGCAGCAGGAAGAGGAAAGAGAGCTGAGGCGGGTGGGCAGTCGGCTATTACACACACAAGTGAGAGCACACGCGCCCACAGCACAGGGAAGGGTAACTGAGGGAGAAAGCAAGAGTGAAGGGAGAATGAAAGAAAGGTGTAATATCAGAAAGGGAAGGGGGAATGAGGAAAACTGGAAGAGCAGAGGACTGGGGGCCCGGAGGGCGTCAGGGAAAGGGGCAAGGTGAAGGAGAGATTTGTAAAGAAATGAGAACTGAAACGAAAGACAGTTAACGTTTCCTGAGGATCTAGGTCTTCTGTTTAAACACCTAAGAGGAAAATACTCCTGCAACAGAGTTGTAAGTAATTATACTGAGCACTGCCAAAATGATCAGGAGGCTATAACATGGTTTCCTAGCCATGGACTTACACACAATTCTCATTTTAATTAAATTCAGTCTAAATAGAACTTATTTGCAGAGTTTGTCTCTGAGTTGTCTGGTTTGCAAATAATAGAGGGTCGCAGATCCATCCCTTCCAGAATCTTGACTCTAATTTTATGCCACTGAGATAATGTGCTTATTTTGAGACTAGACTGTCTTAAGTACCCCTTTCTCCTGAGGTATATAATAACACCAAAGAGGGTTGGCATCCTGGCTAGAAAATCCTACCCTAATTGATCTTATTTTTTCAAAGCAATCATCTGGCAATGATTTTGAATGAATTCCGTACTGAAATCAGGCTGGATGGTTTCCTAACAGCTTTTAGGAAACTGAGAACAGGAATTCATTCAAGTCTGTCATTCTTGAGGGGTGGGGGATCAGCAATTTGAGAATTAAATGAAAATGTTCCAGTCCAGAGGGGTGCCTGAGGTTCTTAAGGGCGGGTAAGTATAGACCATGCATGCCATATCCTGCAAAATATATATATTTTTCCCCCCAATAAAACAAACACCTACCACAGAGAATATAAACAAAGCAAGTAAGAGAACAAAATGATCACACCTGGAAATTTTTAATAAACCACTGAGGAAAACAATTTTCATTGTCTGTACCTGTACATTTTCTATAAAGAAAACAGATAACCTCAAGTCAAACAGAGTTCACATCAAACCAAGGAAACAACAAAAAACAGAGCTTACCTGGGTATATTTAAAAATACTATACACTGGAACTTCAGTTCCTGAATCTTTGGGGTGAGATCTGTTCCATCACACTGAAACAATGAAAGCAGAGAAAGGAAGGGTTTTGAAGTAGTCACAAGTCTAAAAAAATGGTCAAAGATAACTGGGTTGACAAGAATATAGACCATGGTCTTGCCCCTTGTCCCATCTCTGATTAAGTTAATGCCAATTACTATGATTGCACATTTATTCTGCTTATGGCTTTACCATCACCATTAACTTCAGATTATTATTAGATATTTAGTCTTGTAGTATCAACATTAAAAGATTTAGAAATTCATAAAAGACTAAAAAGAGTGAAGCCTCAAGTTGAGGCAGTAGTGACCTTCACCACAGTCTTCTGATTCAAACAATAGTCATAAATATAATAATTTACTTTGGTATTTAAGATTAATTTTTATTTTGAAAATGTTAAGCCTAACATTTTGAAAACTGATTAGGAAGAATACATAGTGCAAGCTTTTCAAAATGTACCTACTATAAATTAGCATTATCTCCATCAGTGATTTATTTGCTCTTGTAAAGTTAATCTCTTATAGACTTTGGTCTTCTGAGATCACCCGCTTTACCGGAGTTTGGACTGGCCCTGGATCTCATGGGCCTCAGGCTGGTTTGACCTCAAACCTTTGTGTGTGGCTTCCCTCATCTTTAGTGTTTTCCTCAAGAGTATCCTCTGACTAATTAAAGGAAAAGCTTTCATTTTCCTTTCTCATTTACCCCGGGTGACAAAAGTCAAAAGAGGAAAACCCTAGTCATGACTGCAGACTTCTCAATGTCAATGTTATAAAGCCTGCTTTTATATCTGCTACCTTGATACCCTCATCACAGAATTTCCCCATTACCTTCTCTCGTGGAGAGAGCAATAAAAATATGCCCAGCTCTGTGCAAATTTTTAAAGATTTGTTTAGGAGGAGTTTCAACCTAATGACAATGATTCTGCTAGCAGTCAAGGGCGTCTCTTTCTTTTCCCAGCTGATCTGAATACAGCCTAATTTTCAGCATTTACAAAAGTTGTTTCCAGGAACCCTTACAGTCCTAAATGAAGTGTTTGAAAATGTTACTTTGATAGGAATTATATTCTAGACATTGATTGAAGGTGTTTTTACAATAGTCCCAGATACTAAGCACACAAGAAGTCTGCCAACTCATTTAAGGGCTTGAAATGAGTTGATAGATGACTATGCCAATGAAGAAAAAATGTAGGCATCTTAAACTATCAACATGGAGTGCTGTTAGCAGCTAAAACTTAAAAAAAAAAAAGAATGTGATACATTAATAGCATGCAAAGCAGTACTGTTGCATTACAGAAAAAATGCTATAATTAACATTATTAAATTTAAAACAAATCATTTTTTCATTTTCAACTTCTTTATCTCCTGGGAAGCATGTCAGCGATTCTGGGAAGTCATCAAATTATATGAGGACTGGGCACCTTACAATGTGTTGCACTTTACCCAGTTTCCTTACATTGTATTGCATTCAAACTATATAACTCTTTAGAACAGTGGTTTTCAACTCTTTCCTTACTTCACATACAAAGGAAAATATCTACGTGCAAAATACGTCCCTGTGTGCAAGCTCACATATTGATGAGAAAGCACAGAAGCAGGGCAAACAATGCCGTATGTAGGCTTGGGCACTGCCTGTTTTTCTGGCGAGAGATCATTACCTACTGCCTCAGAAACACGGACTCCCCCTTGGCAAAGATAAGATGCTCGCATGTGACAGGCACATCTAAGCGCTCCAGCTAACCTTCCATCCTTTCTATCCCACGCTCAAGAAAACAAGTAGTGATGTCACTGTAGAAACATCCTTGTGTCCCTCTGAGTCACAGCACAGTGATCAATAATTGTCCCTTCAAAGTCATGTCTTGCTCTACCTGTTTTAAATGAAGAGAGTAAACTTTTCTGGAAGGTTCAATGATTCCCCCAAAGCCATATGCCTCATGCGGGCAGGCCGAGGATGGAGTCCCACACGCCCAGGCTTAGTTCTGGCCTCATCTCCTCCTGGAACAGGGTGTGACCGCATGAACCAATCCTCCTGAGATACCTCCAGGGGCCGGCTGACGCTACAGCTCCCCTGGTCGTGCGGCTTCCACGCTGGCCCCCCTGTAAGCCCCTTTCGGTCCCTGCTAGACGGCCACCGGCGTGTGAGACATTTATCAAGAGGCCGCCAGGCCTGGGAGCGGAGCTCCGCAGCGGTCAGGGGGTCACGGGTTTACGCCATCGGGGCTGAAGCCGACAGTGGCCACCGTTAACACGGCCTCTGCCCACCGCTCGCTGGCTCTGTGTCCCTGTAAATGTGCAGAACGGTGGAAATAACAGAAGAGCTCATGTGGGGCTGTCTTGCAGGCAGCTGAGGAAACGGGGTAAGCTTGAGGTAAGGTTGCTACTAAGATTTAACAAGCATAATTTTACCAAAATAAAGACGCTTGGAGCTCGGCGGGCCATGTGTCTCCCTTGTGTCTTCCTTAGGGAGGCAAGGTCCCCGCTCTCCGGAGTGGCTACGACCAGGAGACGCCTGCCTTTCGCTGCTACTGCGGAGAACTGCGACATCGGACGCCGGGCGCGGCCCCGGCTGACCTGGGACTCGGGTGTCACCGATGCTTTACCAGCGACCACAAAATTCACCAGTTTGCATCCTCGCTTGCTCCTGCATATCCTTCTGTACACCCATTAGCCTAAGCTCCTCTATTTCTCTGTTCGCATGGACAGCTTTTTCCTGTCCCCTCTTGTCACACAGCTTGTCCACGCCGGCCTGAGCTCAAGCCTCGCTGCGCTCCCCTTCCTTCCCCCCGTCTATATGTTTCTTTCTCTTTCCCCCACTGATACGAGTATGTGCAAAGCCACGTCCGATCCTGCTTTTAACTTGGTCACTGTAAGAAAACATTTCCTGTCTTTCTTAATAACTCATGATGTGCTATGTTAAAATCTGTCCCCTAGGGAAAAGAGAGCTCCCCTCTCCCTTGTCTCCAAGCAGCGAGTGTCCAAAACCCGGGAGAGTGACCCAGAAAGAAACAGAAAATCCATTCAGCGATGAAGGGCCATGACCAGGTGAGAGAGAGTCACCATGGAGTAATAAAATCAAAGCACTTTTCTAAAATGCAAACTCCTCAGGCAGCCCTGGAATAAAGACATTTGCTTGGTGAGCGCCTTTCTACCCCAAGGCCCAGCTCAGCATCGTTTCTTGACTGAAGGTTTCCGTTGCCCCGCCACGGTGAGCTCTCGTATCTCCCCTTGCGCCACCAGCATGCTGTATACACAGCCGAATGGCAACTGGATTACACTGTTCACAACTGAACTGTGACTTCATCCAGGAGTGGAACTAGTCATCTTATTTATCTTCACCCCAGCAATACAGTGCCCGACACCCAGGCAAACGCTCATAAATGACGGCTGAATGAATGGCACTAAATGATCTCCCACGTTCCGTGCAGTCCACTGATTATCCTAAGTACATAAACTGGTATTCGGGGTTCATTTTTCGAGGCATTGATATTCAAATGAAATGAGTCAACACATTCAGTACTTACAACAACTTTAACGTGTTTGGATAGATCTCTAGAGCTTCTCTGTAGGAAATCAGAAAAAGCTGCCTAGACCACAGGGAAATAAAGAAAAAAACCTTAATTACATGGTTATGCCAAATCTTTGCTTCTGTATTATATAATTTCCTCATGATGCTAACTTATGCAAAAATATAATTTGCTGAATTCAAAGTAAAGTAGTGCAGTAGCAGTTAAGTTGAAATCTTTTTGTTTCCAAACTATAACCTATAATAAAATCGAAGATCACAGTAGGAAAGTAAAAAAGTAGATAATACCAACGGTCAGTTTAAAAATTTATTTTGACGACCTTTCCTGACCTGATTTCTCCATTAGGTGCCGCCCATGAGAATGTCTTGCTCCCCCCACTCTTTTATTTCTACTCCCTCTATCTGGTGGTATAAAATTAAACCACACTTATTCTTAATATCAATATTTGAAGTATTTTTTTCTTTCCGGCCATTCACCCCCAGGGATGCCCTTCAGCAGGAGGAGAAATTAAAAGACATGTTCCCCTTTCATCTCAAACATGATTCCATGAAAAGCTTCCCATGCTCTGCCAAGCTCTCATGCAAGCACTGGCACATCTGCACCCCTGTGGGAGCGACATTCGTACCCAAGACCTTCCACACATTTCTCAGGCTCCCTAATTTCCCCGCTCTCTGGTTGGCTTTGGTGTTTGTCTTACACATCATTTGTTAGATATCATCTCAGCACAACATGGAGCCTCAGCTCTCTTTTTGCCAACTAAGACATACGTCTTTACTTGTCTTCTTAAACCAAGACGTCAGGCATCAACCACGCACAGGCCCACAAGTAAACATCTGAGACGTACATGCAGTTGTTTTTAGTATAGTTAGCATCTATATTGCCAACAGTGAATTAACATTAAGTAATAGGCAATAATTATAAACTAAAATATATACTTACCCCTGCATAGAACATTTTATTTCGAAAACGACTGTTGAATTTCTCTGGATTTGCCTCTGCGAAAGGGAAAGGGTAGTTTAGTTTTGTTACGGAGGCCTCACTGAAGGTAGAGACTTAGACTAGCATCCCTTCCTCTTCCTCCCCCTCACAGATGCAACGGCCCACCAGCCTCAATATCATCTTCCCCAGGCTGCAGGCCGTGGTCACCGCTGTCCAGTGCTACAGAACGTAGCCACGACTGGCAGAATCAGCATCAACCGGCGATTGTTGAAAGTGCAGATTACTAGAGTCTACCCGGATCCACGGGATTAGAATGCCTGGGGAGTGGGTCCAGGAACCTGTGGCTTAGCAAGCTCTCCGGGCGACCCTCATGCACAGTAAAGGCCAGAACACTCTGGGCTCTGTTCAGATAGAGGGTTGGCAGGGATACAGGGCCAGGCTGCTAAGGGGAAGGGGAGGAGGCGTGATGACTCGCTTTGACCTCCATAGGTCACGGTTCCCATAAACTGTGTACACAGCTTCCAAGTGTAAGTAAAATGGGGAATTCGGGTAAAAATTAATGGAGAATTTGCTTTCCCATTTTGCAAAAACTCCTAACTACCATCTGCACTCTTATTTGTGACAGGCCTTGAAAAACACAACTTGATTTAGTGGAGATATATAAACATATATATGCAGATCACCCGCTGAATGGCCATTTGACAGCAGAGACTCTGACAGAAAAACGGTTTAATTTTGAGCTTGCTGCTCTGTGTTATATAAGTTGAGGGCCACAAAAAGATTAAATGAAAATGTGCATCAGAGAATTTTCATAGGAATTCAAGGGATCTATAAAATATCTAAATGAAACATCATTTTCTGACATTCCCCACAGCCAGTATTTTTGCCTTCTGCTACGCTCATTAACCCCTTCTGAGAGTGAGGTCTTTTCCAAGTCACTTCTCATCACACTGGCTGACTAGCTGGAACTCCAAGTCTTAGCCCTATTTTTGAATGGCAAACCCCGAAAGTTGTTGTCTAGATGAAGAAAAGTAACCAAGAGTTCACTCACTAAGACTGGGTTGAATAAAAGCTACCAAACCTGAGGAAATAATTCTGGACATTATTAGATTATTTTCATGATTATGGCAACATAACATTAGCATAAGACAGAGACTGGGTTGAGGTTTGGGAACATTAGGAAAAGGTAGTGTTTTTCTAGATTGGTTTTTGAGAGTTATCTTTGTCTATCCATGGTTCCTGTATTTCAAACCTCTCCTTAACCATTCACCCTCTTTTACCAAATTAAGTACTGTAACCCCAGAAACAAAATAAGACATAAAGTAAAAGGTTAATTTATAGGACAAAGTAAACAAAAAGATAAAAATGGTGCGAAGTGCTCCACCTCCTTGGTCCCCGTTGTTGGCCCCAGAGTTGACCATTTTTACGGTCTGGGCCGTCTTCAGGATAAATTTGCCTGCTGAATGGCATGTTTTTTTTAACCTTTTTTGACCCAGATTTGTCTGGGTACTATTTTCAGTTGCAGTAACTCTTGCTTTATGGAATCAGAGGAAAATGAGAATTTTTGTTGCTATGCAATTTATTGCAGGTATATTGGCCCTAATTTTAAACAAAATCAGATCCAACTATTGAGCAAGTTATAATGAGAAATAGAAAATGACACCCACAGTGCTAGCAAATAACTTTTTCAGGGCACTGATGTCCAAACCTATTAAATGAATCATATGCCAACCATTAACATTTACTTTTTTAATAATGTATGGTTTGGAAAATACCCACATCTTCATGAGGTTTTCCTATGAGCCTTGAAGAACTAAAAAAAGTGTTTTTTCCTTTAAAGAACTAGTGTGATTTTTCTCTCTCAAGAGATGGAAAATGTTCTGTAAGACCCAAAAAGACTAAAATTAAGAAGTAAACTGAGTTTTGGTGATTTCTCTATGCTCCCTTTTCTTGATATAGTTGGAGTCCACACTCCTTGGTCAATAAGAAAGTTTAAGAGCTCTTGCTTCTTAAGGAAGCTGCATCTGTCAATTGGTATGAAGTAAACCATGAAAGGCCACCCTCAAGAAAGACCAATAATCCCCAAAGTATCGCAAGACCCCGGCAGTGGAAGTGTCCATGGTTCACGGCTGCAGCTCTAGATGGCCCATCTTCCACGAGAGTGCGAGATAGTGAGATCCAAACACACACTGTGTATGTCTGTGCCATTAACCTAGTTACAATCTGATTGGACACCAACATGAATTGTATTAGTTTTCTATTCCTGTTAACTTGGCAGCTTAAAATATTCATTGATTTTATAGTTCTCTAGGCCAAAAGTCTGGACTGGTCTCTCCAGGGTCCTCTGCTTAGGGTCTTACCAGGCCAAAATCAAGGTGTTAGCTTATAGAGCTCTTATTGAGAGGCTCTGGGAAGGATCCACTTCCAAGCTCATTCAGGTTAATGACAAAATCTATTTCCTTGCATTTGCAGGAATCAAGTTCTTTTTCCTTGCTGGCTGTTGCTAAGGGTCCACTCTCAACTTCCAGAGGCCTCTTGCATTCCTGGGCTTGTGATAACCTATCCATTGTCAAAGCCAGTGACAGCACATCGAATCCCTACCTGACTTCCTGTTCTACCTTCCACCTTTGCTTTTAAGGGCCCACGTTATTACACTGGGCCCACCCATGTAATCCAGAATTATCTTTCTATCTTAAGGTTAGCTAATTATTAACCTTAATAACATCAACAAAGTCTTTTTGCCATGTAAAATAAAATAACCAAGAAGCATGGCCCAAATGGCAAAAGTCATGGAGGCCAAAATTCTACTTACTATTGTCTACCCTCTGGTCCCCATGACTCACAACCTTCACAAATGAAAAATACATCCACTCCCTTCTAGGTCCCCCAAAGGTCTCATCCCATTATATTATCAACTCAAATCCAAAAATCTCATCTAAATCTCATTAGCTCAAACTTCCCAAATCCCATCATCTAAATCATCGAAATGGTTTGGCTCTGGATATAATTCATTTATAATGATGATGAGGCTCTGGGTAGAATCCATTCCATTGACCTAACATATTAATCCTATCTTTATGTACAACACAATAATATGTGTGCCAGCAAAATGGGATCGTAAACCCTACTTTTGTCTGTAATTGGTCCTGTATATTAGGGAGATATTCATAGATAAAAATTCAACATTATGTTTATAAAAATCAATAAGCAATTTGAACCCTATATAACTCACATATTTTATATTCTTTTCATTGAACACTTACCCGAGACTTCAGTAATATATACATAAATGACTTCAAAATCTATGCCTACAATAACATTGTCATCTTCAATTTAAATTGTATATATTTTTTAAAGATCTTATTATTTTTTAACATAATTTTCCATTCAGGACATTTTTTTTTACCAATATTATCTTCATTGTCCCAACACCACTGCAAAAATCTTTCATTATGTAATAACAGGTCATCTAACCCATCTTTATCACAAACTCATATCCCTCTGTACTTTTTCTTTCCTGTCTGAAATACCCTCAACTGCTTACTTGTCAACATCACACTCCTCCTTTATCTCCCCTTTCTGGAAACTTTCCTCTGACACCTTTCCCCTGACAACAGTCCCAGTGAACTCCTATATGATTCACTGCCCACACAACTAATCCTGCCTGAAGTATATATGTCTTTCTAGTTTTATCTTTTGTATATGAGCCTCTCCCTCCAATTAAAATTCCACTCCTGTAGCAAACAGGAGGTAGTCCCTGGACTTGGCACAGGGACCACTATGTTATACACCTGAAAGTAATACAAAGTAATATTGAATGTAAGCTGAAGCTGAAAAAAATATTAAAAAGTGAGTTAAATTATTTTAGATCAGATTAAGTAATACTGATTTATTTGTTACAGAGAATACATGTAATCAATTCATAATTATTTGTTCTGATGGAAGCATGCTGTAATTCAGATAAATTAATCCAAAGAGGATTAAGAGTTTATTATATTAAAAAATAAACTATATTATTTCACAGCTGAAGAATGAATAAATAAATAAATACATAAAAAGACATGGTCTTTTGTGCTTGTGGAGTTTAGAGTGGGAGAGACAGGTCTGAAAATGAAAAGTAAAATGTTATTTGGTATACGCTATAAAGAGATGTCTGCCGGAAATGAAGCAGTGGTTACAGATGAAAGAAATTATCAGAAAAGTGTTCCAGAAGCAGGTACACTTGAATGTGGGATGAGTCGGTACCACGCAAAGGTTCAGGATGGAAAGCAAGCTTACGGACATGGAGTCTCGCACAGTAAGAGTTTCTCAAGGGCAAGCCTCGCTTGAGCCTTCGAGCCTAGACAAGAGCCTGGAAGCGAGTCCTTCGCAGGGATGGTAACGGTGAGATTCAGCAAGCCGCTGCAAACAACACGGTCTTAAAGAAATCTGCTAGTTCTCTACATGAATCATGGAACATTCCTAATCCTTTGAAACGTGCAGATCTGCACGACTGTGTACTCAGTGAAAATGGTAAATCCTTAGTCAAAGTGAAACACTGCCTCCTCTAGAGTCATAATTGTATTTCTCTGACCTTGTGGCATAAAGTTCAACTTCTCTGAACAATAAATTCAACGAGGTAGGAAAATTTAAACATCTAATCTCAGACTAAAAGTTTGATGTGTTTAATATCTCCCATGTCCAAAGAAAATGACAATCTAATTCATACAGCTGGCAGAGTGAGACCCGACTTTGCCACCTGACAACCATAATCATTGTTAATATCTCTATACATTAATAGATGGAAATATTTTCAATGTATGTCCTAAGCACTGTCATACTGCAATAGTGATTAAAGTACTGGACAAGACTCCAACTGAACATTAAATGACCAATCCTATTACATCTCCAAATTCTGTTCCAATGATTGTACTTCTGGATACCCACGCAGCAACCATTCAACCACATGTGGTGTGGCCACTTGGAGAATAAGAAGGCATCTGTTTTCCCATCAAATGAAATATGCCACCTCTCTGATCAAACCTATAAACCCAAGTTATTCAAATGTTTGCACTCTTTATGAAAAGTCAATCAAAATGTAAAGACTTATTAACTCCTTGCTTGATTTTTCTATTGGTAATTCTAAGAACATTTATTTATATGGTAATGCCACCAATAAACTGTCTCAAAAAAAAGTCACTTTATTTGTCCCTTCTAAAAGAAATATAATATAGGTAGCAATTCTGAAATCTGCATTTGTAGCATATCAATTTGATGGGTTATTTCACATCTATGCCAAAAATTGTTTCGGCACTTAAATTTTTAAAAATTCTGCCTTAGTAAGATTTGTATTTATTTCCTATTTCATGTAGACTTGGTTGGCATGATTCCCAATTTGAAGTACTATGTTTTTTTACTGATACCTAATAGGTTATTCTATCCAAGCTCATTTTTACAATGGCTCTCGTGAGACTCTGAGTCACATTCCAAGTATTTTATACAAGCAAGTTTTATCATGAAATCTCAAACTGTGAGTGGTTGTGTTTGAGAACAGTTTGAAGTCTGGACTATGAGTTATTTTGGCTTGAGCACAGCCACTCATTCCCAACAAAAATAAGTGAATTCACCCTTATTGAAAATCTGGTCTTGCTATCTTTCTTTCCCTTCTGCAGCTGAGCTTGTGGTTTCTTGACAATCCAGGTAAGTATATGGGGAAAATTCGAATCAACAAAAAAGCAGTTTTAAAAGAATAATATTAGCTTGAGTAATTATATTTTTCTAATAAATAGTGATTTTATTTAATGCAAAGAATAATAGATTAACAGATACTGAGAAGCTCACATCCCTGGTCTAGGCGTGTCACCCAAATCTGCTTGCAATATTCTGAGGATATTTATTTTGTACCATCTGTGTGTCGTCTTCATGAATACTGTAGCTATTACTCTTAGGTGACATTAATTCTCCCTTATCAACTTGTCAGGGGCTGGTTTTCCTCAAGGGCTCTGGCTTACCTGCAGGGCAAATGTTTGATATCAAATGAAAGCACTTACACTAAGCCTCAGCAACAGACTATTCAAAAATTAGTATAAGCTTAGTATCTTTCAGCTAATTATAATCACACACATTTACACTGTGGTTTATATTTTGTGAGGTGTATATGTATACGTGTACGTGTGTGTGTGTGTGTGTGTGTGTGTGTGTGTGTGTGTGTGTGTGTATATGTATACATAGTCCTCTCTAATATGAAACAGTCCCATAGCTTAAAATAAAATTTTAAAAATCACTTTCCTACAAGAATTCTCTTCTAAGCCTGGTCCTTCCATTTTGATGTTTATCTGTTTTCCCCTCTCATTCTGAAGCACAGAAGTGATCATTAGAGTACAAGGAAATGTATTAAGAAAACTTTCAGATTAATTAGACCAAATATTAAGTTCCCTTGAATGAGCTCATTGTTGGCCACTTACTCATTTAGGCCAGAATGTCTATTTGGGGAGATCCATGCCTTAGTGAATTATATTACTGTATACCTATTGCTAAGAAAATAAGAATTTTATTAGGAAGTCCAGATTCAGGTTCTCCTGAAGAATATGAGAAAAAATAGGGTAAGAAATGGAAAAAGGAATCTCTATTTACTTCCCCCAATTAACTCGCCTCAAATACAGGAAGGGAATGGGTTATAAATGTCGGCCCCAATGTAGGACTCTCTTACTAATATCCAAGAATGTTCTGTTGTAAGGAGATGGGGAGGGTGGTGATGTTTCTGATTTGGGTATTTGATATTTGTGATTCTGTTATCAACCACCCTTTCTATCTGTGACTTTCTGGCTAATCAGAGAGAAAGACCAAACTAAGGCCTCTCTTAATCAGTACTGCTTTTATTTGGTACTGCATTTGACCCTTGAAGCCTCAAGAATCATGGAAGAAAAGGTCTACCAAGACTGCTGAATTTACAAAGAAAATTATAGGTTTGGGCTTCGCTTATAGTTTATATTCTAACAGCCTTAATCCTATAGCCCCACTCTTGACCTTCAGTGCATAAGATTGTGATCAGAATTTTCCCTGCATTATTACTGGAATCTGAACATTTAAATTATAGCTTTCAGTTCCTTGTTTTTAAAACTCTGTGAGTTAGAACTACTTCTACTCTTGAAGAATCTGGAGGAAAATAGTTAAAATAATACCTCACTTGTGATTTTTATCTCACATATTACTTACTACCCTATAGCCTAGCAGTATTTTGGTTGCATCTTAACGTACCCACAAGGGACTAGGTACAGATATAGTTATAGATACAGGCACAGACAGAGCTGCATACTATAGTTACATTAATAAGAAGAGAGCTTAAGAGAGAAAGAGAGAGATTAAGAGAAACCAAGAGAGGTTGAAGCTTCAAAGCATAAGCCCAAATCCTCAACTTTCTCAGTTCTGAAGACAAGGAAGTTCAGACAAGGAAGTTAACCACATCATTATTTCATCTTCTCTTTCAAAAACTGTTTTGCTCCCCAATCCTGACCCCATCTGTACTCGTACTTAAGTGACCACTCAGCTTCTCACGCCTCTATCTCATCCAGGGAGGACGTCCCGCACCTTCTGAACCTAATCCAATCACCAGCACTCCCTCTTCTTTCTACCCAGAGCGCCCATGGTCACCTACTGTTCTAGGCTGTCTGTTGTCTTTTTGACACACACGGGCAGGACTTCTTTGTTTTGCTACGAGGTTTCAGTGGCCCTGGTTATGAAGTGCTGCACTATAATAATTGGTGGTTTGAGAAGCTGTGAGTATCCCAGTGACTCTAGCGGAAGTATCTTTATTACTTCTTAGTAGTTCGCTAACTTCAAAGTTTCCAGTTAAATTTAAGAAGTCCCAAGACCTGGAGCATACATCTGGCCCCATCTCTGACCACCTTGGAAACAACCCTAAACAACGAGGTCTCAGGGTCCCATTTGTAGTAAGTTCCTGTCTAGCTCTCAGGGTCCTCCTGGAGGTCACAAGGAAACGGCACAGAGGCACACTGTCAACAGGTGAGTGATATGCAGACGAGAGGGAACCCGCAGGGCACCTGCTGGAAACTTCCTCCCGGGAGGTGGAAATGGAGCGCCGTCCTTACCTCGGGATTCGTGGAACTCCAGCGTGACGTGGGCATCGAAGCCGAGGCTGAAGTAATTATTGAAAACGTTCAGAGGGAGCTGCAACAACGAACAAAGGGAGAGGTGAAGGTGCGGAACCAGGCAGAAAGGAAAATAAAGCTCAAGCCAGACCCCGTCTCTGGGCGTCCCTGGGAGAGGGGTCAGTCACAACTCCAGGCAGAGGGTGTTTATGTGGAAGGAATGGAGATGTTTGAATTACTTCATCAGTCAAAGCTCAAATCAAGGAATACTCCGAAGAATTTTAAATAGTACAGGAAACAAGGGGTACAAATACAAATGAATAAATGAGAACCATTCTTGTGGATGTTATAATAAGAAAACCCTATTAAGCATGTTTATGATAGTTATAGGGAATGATTCACTATTCAACTTAGAAAGTAAATTCAATTGTAAGGATCTTGTCTAACCTACTTAATCAGTGAATACACTTTTTTTTCAAGAATTATGTTCAGCATATTAATATTGCAACTTAAAATGAATAGTATTTAATTTGTTCACCCTTCATCTATTTTTAAAAATATATTTTTGACACAGGTTATATAAGCAATAAGGCAGTTGGAGGTATTCAGCTATTCTCAACCTAGAGAAAAAAAGAAATATATATGTGTAAATATACATTTATTTATCAGTATTATGCAGATTCTTATTTAGTCTATCAAATCTTATATATTTTATATTAAATTTATTGGGATAACACTGGTTAATAACATTATGTAAATTTCAGGTGTACAACTTTGTAACCCATCTGTACATGCTACTGTGTGCTCACCACCAAAGTCCAGTCTCCTTCCATCACCATATACCTGAGCCCCTGTCCCCTCTTCAAACCTTGTGTCTTTACTATGACTGTGAAACACGCAAACACAGACATACAGTTGCGCACCCACGCCTTAGCTCTCCTTCCCAGACTCCTCCAGGCCACTGGCTGGAACTGCGCAACTGAGTAAAAGAGAGAACCACGCAACCTAAAACCTTGAATTAAAATTGCAAAATTCATGTGCTTTTAAGGCTGCAGCTCAATGTGAGAACAAGTAGAAAAGCATGTGGAAAATGTCAGAAGGGAAACGGTGATTCTTTCCCTTTACCTTCTGCAACTCAGAGTGGAAGATAAACATTAAAGTAAACAGAGAGGCGGTTTTACCTCCATTTAGATAACGTTTCCAGCTTTCTCCTTCAGAGAGAAATTCACTTCTCTCCCATTAGAAAGAAGCGTTTAACCCTCAAGATTCCCAAAGTGAGTTTATGACAGTGTTTCAGGTGCCCCTTGATAGCTAAGATGTTCTACTTGACGAGAGTGAGAACCGTGTCCCAGGAAGAGAAAAACAAAATGAACCTTGTGCCAAGAAGAGAAAAATGAAAGGAGAGGGAGAAAGATATATTAATACAGAAAGAAAGAAAATGGGTTGCCTTGGTCTCCACGGAAATAAAGAATGAGCCCCCTCCTGGAAGGCCCTGAGCCAGAGCTTGTAAAGATTCAAAGGTCAAATCAGCCCTTAGAAATGGATATAAGTAACCAACGAGCAGGGAGAGAAGCTAAACACAATGCCAAGATCGTGTCTCATTTTCCTGGCTCCATATTTGAGAATGTCCAGTTCCTGCACTCAAACAAAATACCATCCTTATAATGACAGCAAGGGTCGGTGATCCTGCCAAGAATGCAGATACGTCCGTCTCTACCATTTATGTTCTTTTGGCTACAAGTCTAACCCGTGTCTTAGCATCCACCGATAACTCAGGGGAACATCTGGTCACCGGCCCATAAATAATATCCCAATTTAGTCTGTTATTAAGTTCTTATTCGTATTTTCCAGGAAAAATTGCCCCAATTTCCTACACATCTCTTCAAAAATCCATTTTCATAGCCTTTTAATTATCTGGATTAATGTTTCCTGGCTGCACCAAGAAGTCTTTCCATTACTTGAGCTGCTGGGAAGAGATTTAAATATAGATTTCTATTGAGGGCCTAATCATTCTAAGCTTAGTGGGGAAAGGACCTTAAAATTTCCATATGGTGCATTTCTCTTTACTTTGGCTGTTTTTTACCCAATTTCTATATGTCCAATACATTAGAAAGACATACCATATCCCAAGATGATAAGTGCTATTTAAACAACATTGTGACATTATGAACTCAAGATCAACTGAACAGTCATGAGATCTACCAAAATACTTGTAATTTCTGGTTCATGGTTTAGGTGAAAGAATCCATGAAGACAAGGCAAAATATTTTTTAATGAGTAAGTGGATGTCAGGTTGGTCTAAAATCCTATCTGGTTCAGTCTATTTTAAGGCGGAAACATCCATGAAATCTTGGCCTCAGCCAACGGCATAATCCAACATAGCAGTGATGCTGTTTAAATTACACATGCCTGGGCCTTAACTCTGCATTCACTTAATGACACTCTCTGGGACTAGGCCTCCTGATCTGTATTTGTTAACAGGCACACCTGGAGATTCTTATGCACACAAAAGTTTGAAAACACTATCATAGAAAAGAAGTGGGAAGTAATATGGAGGAAGTGGCTGTTGGCAACCTACGAAATTTATCGGAAATTGAGGCCGGAGCTTAGAACCAAATGTTCCACTGAAGCTCCACACTAGTGTATTTACAATTGTGTCCCTTGGTTTGTCTTGGGTTGAAATAAAAGCTCATTCACTGCAGGAAAAGCACCAAGCCAAAACATTTATGTGGTCATCTTCAAGTCCCAAGCAAGTAATGAGATTGGCTTAGAGAATACTTCTTAAACATGAGAGAGACCTGATATCAAGCCAGAAATCTCAGGAGGGTGGCTTTCTTTTGCAAAAACATGTGCCTAATGCTTCAGAACATATATTTCATCTTCTCCTAGGTTAAGAGTTTGCAATGAACTCGAAAGATTAGAGTATGGATACATGTCTTCCTGGTGTGGAAGCTGAGGACAGAGGACAGTTCCCTGGGCCCTGGAAGCAGAAATCTAGGTCTTTAGATACCTATGGGGCACCATCATTGGGTAGTGTTAGACACATAGCCCTGAGCCAGAAACTCTAACACAATCCTGTTATCTCGCAGGAAGCAATCAGCACATGACTCTCCAGCCCACAAGAGACACTCCAGGGCTCCTTTCTGCTAAAGAAAGAGCTCTCTAACCTTACACACGCCATCTTCAAGCTCTTCTGGAGGCAAGTCTGGGTTTCTTTCCACGTGGAGGTTCCAGCGATCTAGTTGTACAATTGTCCCATCTTCTACTTGGCAAAGGATCTTGGAAACAGGTTCATCAGTGTAGCCCTACAGAATCAAAGAACACCCATTGGCATCTGGAGTAACGAACGAACGGTACAGCCAAAGGTATTTCACACCTCTGCTGGAGCCCTCTGTTCATTTTGTAACAGTAAGGCTGGGAGAGTAAACTGCTTTTCTCGAGGTGCTTAGAATTTAAGACAATAGTCACAGGGAGTGTGCACAGAGATGCTAACTGTAGCTGGTTTGAGCTGAGGAATAATTTTTGCTGACACCAAGAACCAATAGTTGCTGGTAGGCTTTAGGGGCCATGCTGGGTGGCTGCTTTGATCAGAGTAAAAACAGGTGCCCCCAGGCCTCCTACTAAAATAATCTGTGAGATGCACAGGACAAGGGGGGGGAGGGGGAGAAGAATCAAAGCAGCTCCTGATAGACGATTTCTTCTCTTAACATCCCGTTTTATTCCCTCTCCCTAACCTTGCAGTAAGACACCATCCCTTCCACGACCTAAGGTGTGACCGAGGACCAGCCCTGTTGGGGAGCTCCTGACTCCTTGTGCGAACATTACTGAGAGCGTGATGATTAAGGTTGTCAAGTCACTGGTTTGTACGAGAGGAGTTAACACTGATCATAAATTAGCTGCTTCATGTAAATACAGGGTGTGGCCAAAGTAGGATTACAGTTGTTCGTATGAAAAATAATACAATAATTACATGTACTCACAACTGTAAACCTACTTTTATACCTTGAATGTATTACTTCTACTTAAAAAAAAAAAAGACCTATGGGAGGTTAATTCATTGACCCAAAGCCAAATTAATATCTGAAGATAATTATCACCTATGGGAGGTTAAATTCATCCAAAGCCATATTAAAACCCTCTAATATCCGCAGATAATTTTCGTGGAGCCCAGCCCAGGCAAGGGTCCCAGCAGATGAAAAGCTGCATATGTTAGCATATTGTGCCTTCTTACTGTCATCAGACTGTAGAAGAATATGGAATGAAATGGCTGGTTGGTGACAGGGAAACTGCCACCAAGCTTGCCTGAAATTGGCTCCATGGTGGAAAGGACAGTCAGTTACCTGTAGAGCCAGAGCCATGATGACACCAACCAGAGAAACCAAATGCTCAAAAAAAAGCTGTAACTTCTCCCAAAATTAAGGATTGCACATCTGAATCAGAGCTGCTATTCTGGCAAGGAGCTGAGGGTCAGATCAACTCAAGTCTGCGTGGTTGTTTCACATGAAGACTTGAGGACAAACCCCCACCGCCAATGTCTTTTAGTGGATGAAGCTCAACAAGCCCCGGGTCTGTGTACTAACCCCCCACCCTTTTTTATCCTCAAAGTTCCCTCTTCTCTAGCTGGCAAGTTACCAGGTAAAAATAATGGTTCATGGGCCCCTTGCTTCTCTACTGTAACCTATCCCTTGGACAACAGTGGCATCTTGCCTTCCATTAGAACATCTGTGCAATGGGGTCACCGGAGCCATGGGCAGCCCCAGGAGAGTCCTTACCCCTCCCCAGTTGAGAGTTCGGGCCAGGTCATTCCCAGTCCCCAGAGGAAGGACGCCAACGGGAGGCTGCGGGCTCAGCTGCAGTTCATCCAGAACAGAAAGGATCCAGCCCACCTACGGACACATCGGGGGCCAGAAGAGTGATAAGAAAGACAGATAAGTTACAAGGAAGACCACCCGAGCGGAGGCAGCTTTAAAGAGTGCCATCAAATGGTTTTCTTTTTCTTTAAAATACAGGCATTGTAATCCAGAGGCGAGGAAACAGAAGGAACACTTATCTCAAGCAGTTTCAAAGCAGCAAGTCTCTTACAGGGAAAAGGACCATTTTGTACATACTCTATCATAAAAGCAAAACTAGACCCATTCGTCCGTACGTTTAACTAGAGATCTACTTTAAAATATAGGAGAGTTTAAAATTCAGGGAGGCGTATAACGCAGGACACTGGTGAGAATACAGGACTTAGAGTCAGGCTAAATTTCAACCTGGCTCACATGGGCTCAGTAACCTCGATTAAATTACCTAACATCCCTGAGACGCGTTTACCAGATTTTCAAAATATAGATAATAGAACCTACCTCACAAGATTGTTTATAGAGTAAAATGTACATAAATCCCTTACTATGGTGCATGGCCCATGCAGGTACCAACTGAATGGTTACGCTCCACAGTATCATCTTAGAAATTGGTAGTGTTTTCCTAAATATCCTGTATCCCCCTTAATGAAACATTATGAAACATAATCAGGGTTGGGCCTAGTACTCATTAAAAGCTTAGGGAGAAAATAGGTACTTATATACTAGAGTCACACTGCCATTTAATCTTTTTCTAAAATTTAGTCTTATTGTAACTATTATGAAGATTACCCTAAACTCGAAAAGAGCAAAAACAAACTTGAATGTCCTCACAATGTCATATTCAACAGACCTAAGAACTGTATAACTACTTGAAGACTTCTGTCCTACAGAGAGACAGATGTGGGGTTTACTTTCAAGGTTACAGTTTTTGTCCTTGAGAGGACATAGCCCAACTTTGTCTCAAATTTAGAAAATTTATTTTGTTGTAAACTACACAATTCTTTTCCTCTACTTCTCCAAAAAAAAAAAAAAAAAAGCTTTATCATCTTGTTGGTTCCTTTATTAAAGAGCTAAATAACTTTTTAAATTAAATTAATTGGGGTGACATTAGTTAATAAACATGTAGGTTTCAAGCATCCAATTTTATAATACATCCTCCGCATGTTGCATTATAAATACACTTTTGACATGTATTCATTCTATATTTGCATGAGTCATGTCTTTCAAATATTTTTTGAAAACTGTACTGTAGCAGCACATTAGTACACATAAAACGCAGAACCAAGCAATTGAAACAAGAGAGAAATGAGCTGGGCTAAGATAGATAAGGTAGCTGGCGGCTCCCAAAGAGTTCATGATGAAAAAAGAGTGAGCTACTGACTTCTTTCCATGCGCCAGTCCCTGAGCCCAGTTCTCCAATGAACTGTTATTAAACTTCAAAACAACTCTATGAGACAGATATAATTTTCATCTCCATTTTATAGATAAGGAAACTGAGACTTGGAAGGTCCAATGGCTTTCTTCACATCACATCGTTTATGGGGTAGCTGGCATTCAAAATCAGGTCCGCCAAAGGCTGAAGGCCAAGCCCCTAGCCACTCCGGTGCAGGGGGCCTTTAAATAAAGAACTAAGCCCGGCTCTGGATTGTACACAGCCTGGCCGTTCTGGAGACAGTGGCATGTGCTGTTGGAATCGTTGAAGCACTGAAGAAACTTAGGAATTGCTCATTCAAATTCAGTTGATATGCAGATACATTAACTAAGGTGCAGAGAGGTCACGTAACTGGCTCAAGACTAAGCAATTAGAAGTGGCAGAGTCGGGGCCATATCAGGTCTCCTGACTTCCATCTAAAACCCTTTCTGCTCCACAATGATTCCTTGCCAGGATGAAAAACCTGCCCATCCATCATGAAGTCTAAAACTGTGCTAACCTTCTAGAAAGGTGAAGCACAAAGATTACCCAATTTGGTAAACTAGAAATTCAGATCTACACTAGTGTCAAAAGTCCCTCCATTCCCTCAAACTGGGTTATTTGCTCCTAGACACTCCTTAGATTCCGACCCAGCACTTCTATTGTTCTTCTTTTACGGGCAATGCTGACCAAGCTTGCTACTGAATATTGAAGTAAAGGGGGGGCGGGTTCCAGATGCTACACTATGACTGGTGACTGTGCTACATATTGTTCGTGTGCTGCTAAAAGAAAAATGAAACCCAGTACAAGGCGATATCTCTAATGAACTACAAAAAAGTGGGGTTACAGGGCATGAAAAAGGGTGTGAAAACTCAGAAATCCCAACAACCAGGGATCGCTGACTGCAGGCGCAAAGAGCCCCAAGCAGAACCAGATCTCAGAAGAAATGCGACGGAACTTAGTGGAAATCCAACTCAACATCTCATTCGGAGAAGGGGAAAGAAGGCAGGCTCTTTAAAACTTCTCTGAGGGGTGGTCACTTAGTCTTCCCTTTATGGTTTATATTCGCAAGTCAGTCCAGTCTCTTTGGGGTAGATTTAAATTAGGAACATGTTTTCTTATGGTTAGTTGAAATATGTCTCTCTTTTCTCAGTAAAGAGCACGCTGTGAGTTCTCACTTTCAATACCCCATTTCACTCTAGACACAACAATGGGGGGGGAAATCTCCCTGGGCCAGAAACAGACAAAACACAAAGGAGCAGGCAGAGGAAGCCAGGAGTCTGCTTCTGTCTGATGATGGGGAATAAGTTCGCCCCCTGCTGGCAGAAGGCTGTGTAGGAACCAGGCTCCCTCTCGGCCTGGAAATAAGAGGCTGGGTTAAGAGTATGAAGAACCACGCCTGCGGCCATAGCCCATAGGAAGCTGAGGCCCGTTAGGGCTGGAGGCAGAAGCCTCGGTCTAACAGTGAGCCCAGCTTCCCACTAGCTCACTGACATACCTGGAGCAACCTGACATGTCCTCAGGACAGGAGCCTTAACCACCTATAGAAAAGCGGCCTCAGAGCCCTAAAACCATTCAAACTACTGGAAAGGGGGTAATGAAGCGATGCAGAGACAGGAAAGAATCTGGAAATGGGCCTGCAAAGAAAAGCTCGCAATTACAGGGAGAATAGTAATCCTTATATGATGCGAAGGTTAGGGGTTGCATTCACGGCACATTAAATACAAATAACTTTCAAACAACTTTGAAATAAATGTCCTGTAACTTCCATGCAGCCGAAAGGTGCTATAAAGAGAATGACAACAAATATACCTACAACAGCAGGAGACATAAACCATCTGCAGTGCTAACCCGTGTCTCTATCCCTATATGAGCAAAACTGTATAAAAGACCTCAAGGCTCAAACGCTGCTCACTGGCAGCTCTCCCTTCGCAGTAGCCAGAAACCCGCTCCTGTCTGAGGTCCAGACGGCAGGTTTGTGGGGACACGCTGTGTTTGCTGGGCCTTCCCATGTTCCCAACGCATCTCCACCAGCTTTTCCAGCACCCCTCCAATTAAATGATTTAATAAATTGCAATACATAGTATATTCGGCATGTTTTCCACCACAACTGAAGGAAATTATCCTGATTGGGTGAGATCATTTTCCAGTTTGCGGAGTTCTTTCCTTCCTTTGTGTTAGGAAAACTGAGACCGAAGGGTCTGGAAGAGCAGCTCCAGGCTTTGTCCCTGAGCGGCCCAGCCCGGCCACTGCCGCAGTGGCTGGCCAATGCTGCCACCTCCTGTCTGCTGTCAGCTGTCACTGAATGTTTCCCAAGTGCACACTGAGCACTATTTTCATTCGGCAATATACTCACACTAGAGGCGACTCAAGGGTGGAGACGACAGTGAATTGACATCTTTGAACAGGACAGACTTTGCATTTCCTGATATTACAGGCAGGCAGAAAAATGAAGGACATGCATACCAAGGAATCAGAGAAAAACAGGCAGCATTGCTGAACTCTGAAAGGTAATCAAGACAGCATTTAACAACTGGGTGTCCCTAACATGTGCACGATGATTCTTCCCTTTGATATTTTAATTCACATTTGCACTGAAGAGTTTAAAAAGTCACATGTTAAAAGGAATGTTTAAAATCAGCCCTAAAGAAATCAAAATAGGAGATAAGGTATATGAGCTTTTGGAAAGAGAAAGCTCACTTGTTCACCATGACTGCTATTGAGGTGTGCCATGTGCTTCCTTTTTTTTTTTTTTAAATATATCTTTATTGATTTCAGAGAAAGGAACAGAGAGGGAGAGAGAAAGATGAAACATCAATGATGAGAGAGTTGTCATTAATTGGCTGCCTCCTGCATGCCCCTGACTGGGGATCGAGCCTACAACCCAGGTATGTGCCCTGACCAGGAATCGAACCCCGTTCTCCTGAAGCCCAGGTCAATGCTCAACCGCTGAGCCACGCCCGGCCGGGCCCATGTGCTTCTTGAGAGGATGGGCCATATCTCATTACATCATTATATGTGCGTGAGGTTGAGGCTGAGGGATCAGAGGGGCCTGGAATGACCTGCTTGCCCCGTCAATTAAAGAAAAATATTATATTTTCTCCCCTGCTATGGCTTTAGTAAGTCAGAGCACAGGGATGCCTACTGCTTAGGGTGTATCTTCACCTAGAGAAGCCAACTGAACAAGAAATCAGCATGAAGTGGGTGGCTAAAGTCGGTTTAATTCCAGGCTTTGGAAAGATGTTACCATGGCTACAGATGGACCTGCTGATCCAGCCCAGCTCATCAAGGTCAGAGCCACATACCTGGGGACCATGTCCCACTTTAAGGAGCCAGCAGTAGAGGAGGGTGCACGTGCCTTTAGTGTCTAGGTTCACATGCTCTTCAATATTAAAGCCGTGCTGACAGCCAGGGAGAGTTGGATGGGTGGCAATGTGGCCCACGAAGGGAGAGAACACAAATTTTCCACATGACCACAGAAATAATGCTATTCGCTCAGCCTAGAGATCAAAGATGGGACCAGCTTGTGCAACACCTGCAGCTACGTGACAACCTCAGGATTATGCAAACTGGGGACAAAGAGACCAATGTGCAGCCACTGGCCACATTTGGTGACTGAGCACTAGACAGTGGCTAGTCCGCACTGGAGGCACTGTAATTATAAAGCACAGGCCAGATTCCAAAGACAGTGCAAACTGAGCATAAAGCAGCTCGTTAATGATGTGTGTACTGATTACATTTTGAGATGATAATATTTGGACACACTAGGCTAAATAAACTGTATTATAAAATTAATTTCACTTGCTGCTTTTTTACCCTTAATTCCTTCCAGAGAACTTAACATTTGAAATGTGGCTTACATTATAATTCTCTGGAACAGAAATGGTCGACGCTATTCTAATGCTGCAGCTGTAAAGAGCCCTGGAGGCCCCAATGCAGCCCTCTGCAGATCTGGAAGGTCTCAAAAGAGGTTAGGGAGCCTTCCCAACGTCACGGCAATAGTGGCAGAACCTCTTCTTCCACCTCCAAGGGCAATACTGGGAGATGTGTCACTCTGCCTCCTGGTATTTGCTAATAACATAAAACTGAACTAATATTGGAGCCTAAGAACTTTTTTCCAAATTCATGTACGGTGTCTGCGCATTAAGTCACATTTTGTACACTTAAACTAAGTGATTAGTGGTTAATATAGTCTCACCCGAATCAGTCAAAGATATTCCACTTTGGATTCCACCTTAAATCACCATACTGACAGAATTGTGATATCCTTGATAGAGACGGGTACATGAACTCAAGGCTAAATACCTTATGGCAAATATACACCTGATGCTCTCAAGGATTATGCTTCACTTGCCTAAAGCCAGGAGTTTTTCTTCACCTACCCACCCACCCACTGGGATGCCTCTTTTTTATATAAACTCTGCCCCCAGTCAAAATTCAAAGTTTCATATTCTAAACGGCTAAGATGAAAAATACCAATCACATACATTGATAGATATTTCATAAACCCCATATACCTTTCACCAAAAACCTTATTTTAACAAGTTAAAATAAAAGGAGTCCTACCTGGTCTTACGTAAGATACCAAATAAGCAAAGATTTGATTCTGAGTGTTTGGGCTACAAGGGGTCACTACTGACAAAAATAATGCATTCGAATGCAGGCAGCAATCTAGGATAGACATATTACTTTTATTTTAGGCATGCCTGTTACAAGGGACCCAAGTGGAAATGTGAGTTCCACGGAAGGATGTGAAAACTGGAGTTAGGAACATCGATAGGGTCCCCAAGAGAAAAAAGTATCTAGAACATAAAAGAAAAGTTATATTTAAGCCTTGTGGAATATCTGTTAATTATGGAGTATTTAAAGAAGAAATGCTAGAAAAGATAAGGAAAGTAGGAGAACCAGAGTCTATACGTCAAGAAGGATATTAATAGACCAGAGCGTATTCATAGATACTCAACACTGTAATTGGATCTGGTCGACAGGACCCATTAGTAATGTTCCGAGTCCCACTTACTCACCATTCTTGGTTTTGTCCCAGACACTCTATTGAAACTGTTTCCTTGAAAACCACCAGTTACTCCCTAGTCTCCAGATTCAGTGATAATTCTCCAGTCTCTCCATAGGGATATAACCACGCCCTCGGTATTGAAGCTCCTGTTTTGGCTTGTTTTCTTGGCAGAAGAGACTACCTTCTTCTTCTATCTCTTCATTTCCTTTTCTAATTTTGGCTTAGACTTCATAATTACAGGTATTTCACAAGTGTCTGAACTTGGCTGTCTTCTCTCTTTGTCTTTTAGACTCTGAAGGCCCCCGNGCTTAGACTTCATAATTACAGGTATTTCACAAGTGTCTGAACTTGGCTGTCTTCTCTCTTTGTCTTTTAGACTTTGAAGGCCCCCGTCTTTAAATCTTTAAATACTTGCCTAATTTCGGAGGATGCCTCCATACCACATAGCCTGGAGCAGCGTCTGCCGAGCAGAGGGAAGGGAGAAAGAAGGCAGGAGCGAGGGGGCAGGGACAGAAGGTGGGAGGCTCACTGGGTGAGGGGGAGTTTGGGAGATGCAGCACCCAATCTACGGGGAAGCCCGAGATGTGAGGATGGAATAGGTGGCTCAGGTTAAATAAAGTGAAATAGGTTTGCATTTTTTGCTGTAAGACTTAATAATAAATTTTATAAGCTAATAATGTGCTTTGCAAATCCTGAAGAATGGTAAACACTATTTTCACACACGCGCAAATGTTTTTCTCCCAGAATATCTTAAGGGACCAGTGGAATCACTTTCTTTTTCCCCAAATTCATTTATTGGTACTTAACGTGCATCCAATATCGCGTTAAGTGCTCATGTGTTATGAGAGATAAAATTAGAAAGTTTCATCGCTACTCTGAGAATAAAATGTTCTAATTAGATAAAGTAGAGAAAAGACATAGATAGTTCATAATAAAAGCCTGGGTCCTATGAGAGCAGACCCCAAATACAGAAGAAAAAGACACTGGGCAGCAGAGTCGACATGGCATGAATCTCCATTCATTGCCTTTGCTAAATATATCAGCATAAATCGAAGACAAACGGAGAAATAGATGAGACACATAAACAGAGGAAAATATAACCGTGACATTAAACTTCAGCCCAAGTCCACCTTTTCTTCAAAAAAGACTACAAATGGGACCAAGCGATGATCTTTAAGGCAAACCAATGTTAGTCAATATTCTAAGTTTTATTTCCACTGGAAGAAGAATTACAATAATTCAACTGTGTACACTCACTTCTCCTTAACCGAAGGGACAATTACTAAGAACAAATCGAAATAGGTCANTGGAAGAAGAATTACAATAATTCAACTGTGTACACTCACTTCTCCTTAACAAAAAGGGACAATTACTAAGAACAAATCGAAATAGGTCGGTTTGTATTTTTAAGAGTTTAGTGGTCTGGAGTCCTCGCTGTGATGTTCTGGCCGCACCCTCACCCGCGGAACGGGAAGGGTGTGGTAGAGCTGGGCGCGTGACCCGNCACCCTCACCCGCGGAACGGGAAGGGTGCAGTAGAGCTGGGCGCGTGACCCAGCTCTGAAAGGTCCAGTCTGAATCCCTGATTGTGACTCCGAAGTCCCTCCTGACCCTGAGGGGCTGCGATTCACACGAGGGAGACACGTGTCAGGGGACTGGGGAGACCGTGGGGTGGGAATGAATGAAGAGAACTGTCATCAGGAAAACGAAAGAAATGGGGAAGAAATAGAGGCCAGAGCTGGGTTCTATCCCGGGACCTACCGTTCCATCGCCGCCGCAGGCCAGAATGCGCAGATTGGGCACTTTCCTATACAGCTCGAGCCTGCGGAGGGAGCAGAAGGAGAAGTTCACAGGAGAGCACATCGCTGGCAGACCGGGGGCCCCCCCCTGGGGAAAATGTATAATCCAGTGTCACTGGAACCAGTTACCAAGTAATCACAGGACGACCAACTCCAACAAGTGGATCAGAGGCTGGCAGCAAACAGCACTTTTAAACAGCCAACACTGAGGGGGGTTTAGGATGTCTGGGTGTTTTATACCCCATAATCCCTATTATTAATGTGCCAGGTCATTGCACATATCGTCTTTGACTTCCTTTTTTTCTTTTTTTTTTTCTTTTTCCATCTTTCTCTTCTCTCCTTTCTCAAAGAAAACCATCATTAATTGGCAATTGATAGGCCTTATAGATCTCCTTATATTCTGTTAGCTTTTCGTGGTTCTATTTCTTTTTCAAACCTAAACTTCCCACTCTTAATCCTAGGAAAACTCTTTCGGAGAGGCAGGGGAAGGACACCCCGCTAGCATCACTGCTGCACCCACAGTTCCATCCACCTCTCATCTCACTAACAGTTCAAACCCCATTTATACACCTCAGTCCAAAGAGGGGGGATTTACTGATTTTTCCTTATTTTCGATTTGCCTGCTTAAAATTAGATCATCTCATTTTTCATAGTTGGCTGTAAGAAAATGCAGCTATGCCCCGCCTGCCAAAATGTTTGCCTAAGCGAAGCTGCTGACGGCTCTGTTCTAGAAAGCATCACCTGTTTAAATCAAATACTATTTTTTCCTGAAAATATTTTCTGCCCTACCATGTTCTTTATGCTGATCTATGAAGCATTTACCTAAAGTCTAACTAAAGTGATAAAATCTTAAAAGTAAGCATCCCAAAGGGCAAAAGCCAGGGTGCCAGATTTGCCCTAGCACATCCAAATGCAGGAAAACAGAGAGAAGTCTCCTGGCACCCTCTAGTGGCAAAAGTGTTCATAGATGAAGAGAAAGTCAGCAGAAATTACTTTTTATATTTAATACCCTCCTGCATGCTTAAATATATATAATTTATCCATTTCCTACACGAACATTATTCCTCTAGAAATTACCTAAGCTGATGTTTCTTTTTTTTAGATAACAAAATATATTTTATAGCTGTATTACTAAAAGCAAAATATCATTTAATACAACTTGAAGCTGCTGTAAATCTAATCTGGCACCATAACTATACACAGGGTCAACAGCGAAGGAAGAAAAATGTTCATTGCAGTTAATAGGTCCCTATCAGGTCTCCGGTGTCAGGAGCTAATGTTCCGTCACCTGTGATATTTATTTAAAAAGAATTAGTGTCTCTTAGGTTATAATCTTTATCAGATGACATCCAAACTATCTTAATAGATGGGTTTTTAAAAGGGAATCAGAAAGCCGCAACAATGTCCCTGCTCTTTCCCTCCGCCAACAGGAAGAAATCAGAGACACGTCACCTACATCTAGACTTGATTGTCAACACTTCTAACAAAAACAGAGCTTAACATTTCTGAGAAGCTCATTAAGAGGACTGGACAGGGATTAAAATGTCCCCCCCACTCTAACGTGAAATCCACAGGTATAATCGATTAATCAGTGTCTCAAATGGACACAGATGTGCACGCACAACCTCTAATTCAAATATATGAATATATTCGTAAACAAATACGATCACTGTCCACAAAGACACACTTAGGTTCCCATTCATGTACAGGCCCCAAGTTGTATATGCAGAAACAGAAAAGTGATAGATCCTTTCTCAACACCCAGACTTGCTCATAATCTAGAGGTGCACAAACAAATGCAGCAAACACACAAGAAATATTCACTGAGTTAATAACCGAGAAGATGTGTTTCGAAGGAAATTAGACCAATGAAGAATATGAGGGGAATGTTAAAGGGAGGACAGTACAGGTGAGAAAGGAGACGAGAGATGATTAGAAAATATTCCACAAGGCAGCCAAACAACAAAGCTGGACGCCACAGCACGAAGTCCTTCTCACTTGCCTAAGATAGTAGGGACCATGGCGGGTATTTCCAGACTTACGCATCTTTTGGCCCTTCCTGAGAAAGATCAAAGACTTGCCGTGGATTCAGGTACCACATGAACATCTGCAGGACTTTGGTTCCCTGTAAGAAGAAAAAGAATGACAATAACGGGAAGAAATTTTCAAACATGAGCTGCTTATTTGAAAAACATAAATAAATCCTGTTACCTAAAATAGTACCTAATTATAAACAGATTAGAGCAGTAGTTAAAATCATGGTCTTTGGCCAATGCCCAGATTAGACGTTAGCCTATTGCGTGTAACTCCGGCAAGTTCCTTAATTTCTTTAAATTCACCTCCCTCCTCTTTAATGTGGAGACAAGAATGCCTAGTTCGTAGACATTTCAAGGATTAAATGCAATAATGCCTGAGGAGCGCATCGCAGTGTTGGGCGTGCAATAAGTGCTTAATGAATAGTATCTATGACTTAATGTGTGAAAACCCACGCAGGGAAGTTGTTAGTCAGCCTATGTAATTTAACATTAATTTTTACTTTAATGTGCAGATTACTATTGCCTTTGCATAATGTGAAACATGGGCAATATGAGCTAAGTATGACTTGATGGAAACATTTTTTAACGGAAGCAAAAGTACCGCAGGCTCCCCATTGTTCATGATACACATATATAACTTCTCCAGTTCGTGGCATCAAATCTTACTTTGACATTTTTCAGTTTCCATGTCTATATTTCTTTATCCAAACCAAACATTTCTGTCGCACATGGACAGTTTGGGAATGTTTTAAGTAAATGTGACATTTCATAGAAATGATCATCATGGCAAATACAAGGTGGCTCTAAAGACCGTTTCTTACAGTGAACTGAGCAAAAAAGAAATGAAGAAGGATATTTTTATTAAACAGCATCCAGAGAGCTTCAAAATGGGTAAGTTGCCTCATTTAGGTCATTCTCAACCACAGCAAATAGTATCTGATCAGTAGGCAGAGTTTGTTGCTTATAATTACAGTTCCTTTATTACATATCATGAACCTTAAATTTTTAATAACCCTAATTTTTATATCTACTATGCTATATTTAAGAGTTATCCTAGTATTGTAGAAACAGCACAATATTTGAATTAAAAATAACTTGGGTGTCCTAAGTGGGTGATCGTGAGCATTTATAATCTTGCAGAAATTTAGCATATAAAATAGCCAGGGAATGTGTACTTTCCAGGGTGACTGTGAGAATTAAATGAATCAGTAATAGTTACGTAACTAGCACAGTATATGGCACAAAACAGGCCTTTTGTAAATGTAAGTCCCTTTCTGTTTTGCTCTTTGTTCATCTATTCATTAAATTACACTTGCGGGTGTGAGAGCTAAAGGGTGGTTTATAATTATCTCACCATCATCCCCATTGCTACAGGGGCCAGTGCAGGTCCTTTGTTCCGCATTTCATCCCAACCTATAATTTTTAAAAGCTCTGCTTCACCATGTGCTCGCTATAAATTTAGTAATAACATTCTACCCTTAATTATTACAACTAATCCTACAGTTTTACCAAAGGACATAGTTTGCTTCATATACAATTCAGTCATAGCTTTAGATACGTAATACTAACTAAACACTGGGGCATTTTCTTCCTTCCCATACTGGGCCTTGGTATCAAGTCAGTTGAGGATTCTCTCAAGTAATCTTCTCAGTTTAAAAGTCATTTTAATGGCAGACCAATTTATAAAAAATTTCCAGATGACTTGCTAGAAAATTATTTTTTCAGCTTCAGGTTCCTAGAGCAATATGAACTGTAGATGTGAATTACTCTTGTCCACCTTTGTCAAGTGGACGCCCCAATTTCAGCTTCTTCTGCTAGGCATGTAATACTAGGTAATTAACATCTTTCAAGAAATGAAAATACAAAGCATTTTGAGGTTATTTCCTTAATGTAAAATTTCTCTAGGAGGCTTGAGTGACACCCTTCAGTTTTTGTTCATTTTCAATCTGTGTTAGTTGAACACCTAAGTATCTCCATTTATCCTTTTGAGGAAGGGATATTAATCAAGGCTGGCAAATTTTGCACGGCACACCTCTAGGAGGCGCCACTGACATTACAGACTGTTAGAATAATGCCCTCTGCAGTTGCGCAGGGATAACTCGCATAGCAGTACATTATGTTCAATCATTGTCTAATTTCTTCTTTCAAAAAGTAATCTTTCTACAATATAATCATTAGCAAAAAATTATGTGTCTGAGTGAAAGCATTGCGCTATTTTAAATCAGTCCTGGTGGGTGGAGTAAAAAGGTCTAACACACATTTAAGTCAGTTCTATTAACTCTGCCATTACCTCTAGGATAAGCTACTTTAGGGCTTGAATAGAGGCAATTTATTCAATAGTACTGAATGGTTTGACAAATACTAATTCAGCAGGAAAAGAGAAATTTCTTTTTTTCTCACTGGCAGTATTAAATATACTAAGCCATTCACACAACTGTCATTCAAAAGCTGCAGCTCTTGTGAGAGTCTCATTTTCTCTAAATTAAAAAAGAAAAGAAAAAGAAAGGCTTACAAATTAATTCCAATACACTCTGGAGAGGGTTCCCACACATAGTAGATGCAATACCTCACTGACCACAGAACTCTTTAAGATATTGTGAGAATGGGTATTTCTCTGGAGTGATAAAACTGTTCTTTCCAGCTCCAGGTGTTGGGGAACAGGGTGGGAGAGGAGAAAAGAGTCTCCTGGAAAATAGGTAATTGTTCTAGAGGGTTATAAATAAACAGGATTCAGCCCCTCACCCACTATGTGCAAGGCTCAGTTTTATGTGAGGGAACAAGATGGACTAGACAGAGAAGATCTTGCCCTCAAGAGGAAGCTCTATGTGTTATTCATGAAATAAAACACAGTGATTTGGGGAGATGGAGAAGCAGTTAAGGATGGGTCAGCTCAAAGAGCACATCAATCTTCGTCAAAGCATTGTAGCTGTCAGGTAGGCTGAAACATTCGGCTATGTCACTTGGAGAGCCTTGCCACGGAGCTTTGATCACGATCATGGAAAGAACTGCCCACAGAATTAAAAAGGCCTGAGGAAAAGAAAAGGGAGTAGGAGGAAGAGATTAAGAAATAAGTATTTGGCCAGGCCCAGCGTGGCTCAGCGGTTGAGCGTCTACCTAGGATCCAGGCAATCGGAGTTCGATTCCCCATCAGAGCACATGCCCGGGTTGCAGGCTCGATCCCCAGTCGGGGGCGTGCAGAAGGGAGCCCATCAATGATTCTCATCATTAATGTTTCCATCTCTCTCTCTCCCTCTCCCTTTCTCTCTCTGAAATCAATAAAGATTAAAAAAAAAAAGAAAGAAAGAAGTATTTGAAACTGGCTTCAAACAAGCTCAAAGAAACCTAATTTAACTAATAGATACGTATTCGGCTCCTACTCTGTGCCCATGTAGACGGGGAGACCAACGAAAATCAGTTCATTAAAGATGGCAAATGCTATGGTAGAGATGCCCACTGAGCAGTGTGAGTGGCCAGAGGAGACACTCTGAGCCCAAATTTGGGGATTAGGTGAAGCTTCCTACATAGGATACTTGCACTTTGTCCTGAAAGGTGAGTAGAGGAAGTTTTGGGGTAAAGACAGCCAGACAGGCCATAGAAAAACTACGTTCCATTCCGTCTTTGAGCCATGAGGCAGGAGCTGCGGGAGACAAAACAGCCTGAGTTGTACATGAGGTCATGCATGCGAAGGAGCTTGGGCTTTGCTTTACAAAAGGAAAGAGCCACTGAAATGCTTTAACTAGGGAGCTGGACTTGCATATTGATATATTTGTCTGGCTACAGACTAAGGAGCTAGACACTCGGGTTCCAGACCTGTCCAAGGGGCTAGATAAAGATTTGGGTCATAGCCACTGCAAAGGACTTAATGCGTTGCTCCAAAATTCATGTGGCGAAATCCTGCCCCTCAATGTGATGGTATTAGGAGGCGGGGCCTCTGGGTCCTGAGGGTGGAGCCATCAGAATGGGATTAGTGACCTTACAGAAGAGGCCCCAGAGAGCTCCCTCCCCCTACCGCCACATGAGGACACGGCGGGAAGACAGCGGTCTGTGGGCCAGGAGGTGAGTTCCCGCCAGAAATCGAATTGGCCGGTGCCTTGATCTTGGACTTCCCAGCCTCCAGAACTGTGAAGAATAAATTTCTGTTGTTTAGCAGCCCCCCAGCCTATGGTATCTGTTATAGCAGCCGAACAGATGAAGACAGCTGCCCTCACATTCCCACCAATGCCGTGGCTTGGAAAAAGGGACTCTACAGATTCATTGTTCGGTTGTTTAAATTCTACCTGTCGAGGCTGGGTTGATGGGGAAATCTTGATGACACTGAATTTTTGACATGTGTGGCCAATCGACTGATTGCCCTTCTGCCCTCTTTCCGCCAATTCCAAACTTTAGTGGACTAAAATTTTATCTAAACATAATGGTTCTTGATTTATTCCCAGCTTGAGCATCGAAGAAAATAACCTTTTCATTGAAGCTGTTTGAGTATTTAAAAACAGTGTGGGGGTTCAAACATTTTAAGTTATACTTTCTGTCTTCTCTTTCTCCCCACCTTGTCTGACTTGCCCTTGGCTTAGAAGGGGTGGCCCCTGTCTGGGGAAGCTTGTCCACAGATGGTGGTGTGAACTTGGTCGGGATGAGCCTGTCCACAGACTGAGCACCTCTTCCTCTTATCACCCACTAATAAGGCCCCCGGGAGCTCCATCCAAGGGTCCAACTCATGCCACACCCCAGCCCTGGGATGTCACATGGAACAGTTTGGAAACCAGGGTCTGGAGCCCTTAACTCTCAGGACTGACTAGGGGGCTAGAGTCACTCTAGCAGTCAGGACACCTGCCTAACCCTGAATTTATCATCGACGTCACTGGAGGAAGGAACTCATGAGAGTGAGGGAGAGACCATGAAAGCAGGAAACATCGGGGGGTCTCAGGAGGGTCCACAAGACTCAGGTGCAAAGATGTTAATGAGTCGGAGGCATCCAAGAAGGGTAAGTTTTGAAGTTAAAGCAGAGGTGAGCGTGAGAGGGGATGCGTATTTCTGGAGCCCTGGGGTCTCCATGTAGGCGAGGGGACTGGGGGGGGGCTATATCTTCCCTCTGCTATCTCTTCCCCGCAGGACACGCTCAGAGTGGATACTGTGGCCCCTGATTCCAGTCCCATTTCCTCAGATAATGCAGATCCCAACAATAACAGTAGTGCTGCCAGCCTCTAAATATTCGCCAAAATCCAGCATTTTCTCCACCTTATGTGTCAGAAAAACAGACAATTGGGGAGCATTTTTCTCAGTCCTTTGAGATTATGCTTTCCCGGCAATTATCTTGTTTGGCTCAAATAAACTCACAAGAATTCTCTAAAAAAAAAAGAAAGAAAGAAAAACAGAGACAATTATTGTCAAGTATCTGTTTAAAAGACAGAATTGTTTAAAAGAAAGACATAGAAGCAGACGCTATATGTGGTTATCTCACTATATCCCAGCAAAACATTAGAAATTTTCCATCCATAAAATACTGTAGGAAGGGAAAAAGCTGTAGGTATTTTACTTGCCAGAAGATGGTGGTATAGTCCAGTTATTAAGAACAGGAGAGGGGAGTGCTTTACATGCAGAAGCAGATGAGTAGTAGAGTAAGTCATTATGAAAAGGCAAGAATCAGGATTTAACAGCCAAGTGTTTCTGTATTGGCTGCAGGAAGCCCTTGCTGGTCAGAGCGAGATCTCAGCAGCAGCAACAGCACCACCCAGGGCCTTGCTGGAAAAGCAGAATTTCAGGGCCACCCAGACTCAGAGTCAGAAACTGCATTTTAACATGATCTCCACCCCCCCCCCC